AGAGAGAGAGAGAGAGAGAGAGAGGAGAGAATGTCTGACAATTTTCAAATATCTCCAATGTTTGGTAGCATATTAACCATAATGCTTTTTTGGATCATCTGGCAAAATTAGGCCTTGAAGATGCTGTTTTGTAGTCATTTTTGTCTTTCCTAGACGCTGCAGCTTGTTCCTCAAACCCTTAGCAGATGTCCTGAGGAAGCTTTAGGGTTCCAGCTTTTTATCCATGCTGTTCAATGTCAATCATAGCTTTAGAATGGAGTGGAGTTGAGAATGAACAACAATTCAGCTCTTGTTCTTATAATCTAAAAAATCTGGATGGCTACTGATTACTTATTCCTCAATTAGGAAATGTTGCCTGATTTATCAGTTTGTTGAAGGTGACTTCCCAAGTTGCTGTCACTCAGGGACCTATTTTAATATCTTCTATGAGAAGGTTAGTTATTTACAAATCAGTATGATATTTAATGAAATCTTACAGCTATTAATTCAAAAGCAATGTAAGGAGTGGCCTATGTGTTCCAGTGTTTAATGTGCCCCAAAATATGACAAATTATCTAGAAACAAAGAAAACGACATCAATTGCTTCAGGATTTTTAGGATTGATATAACGTGGTGAAGTTTTTATACTCCGTCAATGAAAGGGAATTCATGATCATTATTTAATGAAAAACATTAGGTAACAATTCATAACTAATACCATTTGCTCTTATTCTTGATTTGGCTTTTGAGATAGTTTAAATTTCTAACAGCAAAAATGGCCATAGAATGTTTGATGTAAGTAGGAAATGTAAGCAATCAGATTTAGAATCTGCTGGTCAGTACCTGATGTCCCCCCCCCTTCCACCCCCATTGCCAACCCCAAAAATACTTTCTCACCAAAGTTTCTGTCAGTTTTGTAATATTCAATCCCATGTATCCTTTTTGAAACAATAAACATCCGTTTGTCTGATTCCTTTCCCCTCATTCACCTAGCAATGTTACCCCCCCCCCCCGTTTGTGGTTAATTGCAACATATTCCCACCTAAGAGTTTTGGGGTTGGTAGTACAGGCTATATGTATAATTTCCCATTTCATTTGGGAGAAAGATCTGCATCTGTCTTTTTTCCATGTCAGAGAAGACAGATAATCAAGCAGACAACACAACAAAAATCCTTGGGGAGATAGGTTGTTATGTCTTCCTGATTTTTGATGTGGAACTTCCCGACCTCTTTTCTCGGGCCCCATATAATCTCTCTTCTCATTAATTTTGCTCTGTCTGGGATCTCACAAACATGATTTTTTTTTAAGGTTCAGGCAACCCTTTTGACAGTATTCTTTTTTTTTCCTTTTTCTTTTCCGTTTAGTTAGCATTTTCCCTCTCCAATGCTGTTGTTAATCTGTATTTATACTGGAAATTTCAAAGAGCTAAAAGCATTGAGAGCATGTACCGTACATCTTTCCTGGATTCACTGTACTTTTCTGTCGTTTCAAATCCATGGGTGATTCATGTACTTTTTGTCTTATGCAAGGAATTAAAAACATTTTGCTGAGCAAAATGGTAGTTATCCAAGAGGCCTCCTCCTTCACCGTGTAGGAAACATGCAATGTTTCAGCCTATAGCTCTTTTTTTCCTTCTGGGGATATATATATCACTGTTAACTTGATTAGAAGAAAGCTGCAGGCTCTCATCAGTAGACTAAAACTTTTATATCCTTCAACATGTCTAAAGCACTTCTGCCTTCCTCTTTTATGACCTCTTTCTTTTTTTCTTTCTTTCTTTCTTTTTTGCAACCTAGGGATTCTGAGTTTTGTTATAGTGTTTCTCTTCTGTTTCGGAGGGGGTAAAAACAAGGCACTTTCTTCTCTGATAGTTTCCTTTCTTCTGGTTTATTTCTTTGTTTTTGAACAAAGTGGTTTTTGAACCAAGGGAATAAGCACAGGAACTTGGTACATATAGATACAATCATGTAAGCTCAATATTATCTATGTCAGCTTTTCCCAAATCCATACAAGGGCAAAACTCACTGTCAACTCTGAAGCTGGCCTGACTGGGGCCATCTTTGAGGCTTCAGTGTTGTCACAATGGAGATGAGGGTTAGGGAAGGAAGAATAGAGATAGCTGGGGTTTTGTAGCCAAAACAATATACTTTCCCCTGGGAACCAAGGACATTCTAACAGCTGGCTGAAAAGTGGAGGAGTGATGTTATCACTCCTGGACAGCTGGACAGCACCTGGACAGAACCCTGATTGGACCATGTGACTGGTTGTTTGGGGAAAGGGAAAAAACTTTTACTTTTAATTAGGTGAAAACTGAGGGAACCTTTAGAGTCAGTTTTCACCAATCTGTGCCAATAAACCTGTTCTTTGAAGAACTTACTTGCCTCAGAGTTCTGTTTGCTATGGGTGTATTACTTGGAACTCTGACACCCACATAGCAGTTGTGGGTTCCGGGCGTTACGGCCCGGTACAGCCCAGTACGGCTGTACTGGGAGTAGCCGGGAAAAGCGGCCACCGTACCGGTATGGTGGCTCATTTGGCCCACCTGCCCGCCGGGAAGCTGGGTGTCGCAGAGCAATGCCCGTCTAGGATGCCCAGCCCCATGCCCGGTGTATGGCTGCGCCGGCATCTAAAACCCACCACTGCCACATAGGTTGGACATCTTAGGCCTCTTGTTTCCAATGCACATACATCAGTGTGTTAATATTTGTCTGCATTGACCAGCAGAAGTTTCTCACATAACTGTAAGTAAATCTTTTATGAACATCTTTTTCCAGCCCTATCTGGAAGCATTTGACAACCTATGATCCATATCTTTGATTTTTGGTTTGACTGCTTTCTTTGAGTACACTTTGCCAAAACATCTCTGACACCTTTTAGAAAAGCAATAATTATCAGCATTAGGAAGCTGATAATTCAATTGTTTTTATTTGCTTCATTATTTATCTAGAATAATCACTTTATTTTAAGAAATAATATTGTTCTGGACTAATGATTTTATGTCGTCCCGTCCCCCCAAAAATAGAAGAGCTAACCAATCATTATAAAAATTATTACCTATGATAATCTAGGATTCACCCTGCAAGATAGATGACTGGGCTAAAAAGATTGCTGTGTTCATAGTTTAAAGGCAAGTAGTACACCGTATATCTATTTAAATATTTAATTGCCATTTCTGTTTGGGAGCCCCTTTGCACAAGTGTTGAGTTTATGCTTCTTGATTCAGAAGTTGTTTATCTGAAGATAACGATGGAGGACTTTCACTTATTATAACATAATTCTACATTGTTAAGATAATCTGTTTTAGAAATCATTGTTCTAATTATACCTGGATTACAGACTAATAACTTTACCTGTAGCTTTTCTTTTTTTCAGATTCATTACGTTGGTGCTGCTGACAGTACAGTTCAATTTATTTTCTATCAGCCTATTATCCACCGATGGAGAGAAACTGATTTTTTTCCTTGTTCTGTATCCTGTGGTGGAGGTAATGAATATAACACTTTTCTGCACTGTAATTCTAAAAAATACTGATATACATCACCAAGTTTGTTCAAGGTGACTTCCTAAGTTTCTGTTGAAACTTCACCAAGCCTTTTTTTTTATGGATCTGCCTTCCTGCTTTCCTTCTTTCCTTTTTTGTAAATATTTATAGAGTCTTTATTTTGAAGTTGTGGAAGTGCTCTGACCTGTCTTTAATTACCATATGTACAGTACAACTTGAGGGACGTGGTGGCTCAGTAACTAAGACACTGAGCTTGACGATCAGAAAAGTCAGCAGTTTGGCTGTTCGAATCCCTAGCACCACGTACTAGAGTGAGCTCCCATTACTTGTCTCAGCTTCTGCCAACCTAGCAGTTCAAAAGCATGTAAAAATGC